CAGTTATTGGTATCCTACACTCGTATCCTTCACTGTTACAGGTATCCTACACTGTTACTGGTATCCTACACTGTTACTGGTATAGTTACTGGCAACCTACAGTTATTGATATCCTTCACTGTTACTCGTATCTTTCACTGATATTCGTATCCTTCATTGTTACTAGTATCCTACAGTGTTTGGTATCCTAGTTCCTGGTATCCAACACTGTTATCGTATCCTACAGTTACTGGTATCCTACAGTCATTCGTATCCTACACAGTTATTCGTATCCTTCATTACTGATATCCTACAGTGGTATCCTAGTTACTGGTATCCTACACTAATACTGGTATCCTACAGTTGTAGCCTACACTGTTGCTGGTATCCTACTGTTGCTGGTATCCTACAGTTGCTGGTATCCTACACTAATACTGGTATCCCACAGTTGCTGGTATCCTACACTGTTGCTGGTATCCTACAGTTGCTGGTATCTTAGTTGCTGGTATCCTACAGTTGCTGGTATCTTAGTTGCTGGTATCCGTCAGTTGCTGGTATCTTAGTTACTGGTATCCGTCAGTTGCTGGTATCTTAGTTACTGGTATCCGTCAGTTGCTGGTATCTTAGTTACTGGTATCCATCAGTTGCTGGTATCTTAGTTACTGGTATCCGTCAGTTGCTGGTATCTTAGTTACTGGTATCCGTCAGTTGCTGGTATCTTAGTTACTGGTATCCGTCAGTTGCTGGTATCTTAGTTACTGGTATCCGTCAGTTGCTGGTATCTTAGTTACTGGTATCCGTCAGTTGCTGGTATCTTAGTTACTGGTATCCGTCAGTTGCTGGTATCTTAGTTACTGGTATCCGTCAGTTGCTGGTATCTTAGTTACTGGTATCCGTCAGTTGCTGGTATCTTAGTTACTGGTATCCGTCAGTTGCTGGTATCTTAGTTGCTGGTATCCGTCAGTTGCTGGTATCCGTCAGTTGCTGGTATCTTAGTTACTGGTATCCGTCAGTTGCTGGTATCTTAGTTGCTGGTATCCGTCAGTTGCTGGTATCCGTCAGTTGCTGGTATCTTAGTTGCTGGTATCCGTCAGTTGCTGGTATCTTAGTTGCTGGTATCCGTCAGTTGCTGGTATCTTAGTTGCTGGTATCCGTCAGTTGCTGGTATCCGTCAGTTGCTGGTATCCGTCAGTTGCTGGTATCTTAGTTGCTGGTATCCGTCAGTTGCTGGTATCTTAGTTACTGGTATCCGTCAGTTGCTGGTATCTTAGTTGCTGGTATCCGTCAGTTGCTGGTATCTTAGTTGCTGGTATCCGTCAGTTGCTGGTATCTTAGTTGCTGGTATCCGTCAGTTGCTGGTATCTTAGTTGCTGGTATCCGTCAGTTGCTGGTATCTTAATTGCTGGTATCTTAGTTGCTGGTATCCGTCAGTTGCTGGTATCTTAGTTGCTGGTATCCGTCAGTTGCTGGTATCTTAGTTACTGGTATCCGTCAGTTGCTGGTATCTTAGTTACTGGTATCCGTCAGTTGCTGGTATCTTAGTTACTGGTATCCGTCAGTTGCTGGTATCTTAGTTGCTGGTATCCGTCAGTTGCTGGTATCCGTCAGTTGCTGGTATCTTAGTTACTGGTATCCGTCAGTTGCTGGTATCTTAGTTGCTGGTATCCGTCAGTTGCTGGTATCTTAGTTGCTGGTATCCGTCAGTTGCTGGTATCTTAGTTGCTGGTATCCGTCAGTTGCTGGTATCTTAGTTGCTGGTATCCGTTAGTTGCTGGTATCTTAGTTGCTGGTATCCGTCAGTTGCTGGTATCTTAGTTGCTGGTATCCGTCAGTTGCTGGTATCTTAGTTGCTGGTATCCGTCAGTTGCTGGTATCTTAGTTGCTGGTATCCGTCAGTTGCTGGTATCTTAGTTGCTGGTATCCGTCAGTTGCTGGTATCTTAGTTGCTGGTATCCGTCAGTTGCTGGTATCCTACAGTTGCTGGTATCTTAGTTACTGGTATCCTACAGTTACTGGTATCTTTGTTACTGGTATCCTACAGTTACTGGTATCTTTGTTACTGGTATCCTACAGTTACTGGTATCCGTCAGTTGCTGGTATCTTAGTTGCTGGTATCCTACAGTTGCTGGTATCCTACAGTTACTGGTATCTTTGTTACTGGTATCCTACAGTTACTGGTATCCTACAGTTACTGGTATCCTACAGTTGCTGGTATCTTAGTTACTGGTATCCGTGAGTTACTGGTATCTTTGTTACTGGTATCCTACAGTTACTGGTATCTTTGTTACTGGTATCCTACAGTTACTGGTATCTTTGTTACTGGTATCCTACAGTTACTGGTATCCGTCAGTTACTGGTATCTTTGTTACTGGTATCCTACAGTTACTGGTATCTTTGTTACTGGTATCCTACAGTTACTGGTATCCGTCAGTTACTGGTATCTTTGTTACTGGTATCCTACAGTTACTGGTATCTTTGTTACTGGTATCCTACAGTTACTGGTATCTTTGTTACTGGTATCCTACAGTTACTGGTATCCGTCAGTTACTGGTATCCTACAGTTACTGGTATCCGTCAGTTACTGGTATCCTACACTTGTATCCGTCAGTTACTGGTATCCTACTGTTATTCGTATCCTTCATTGTAACTAGTATCCTAGTTGTATCCTACACTGTTACTCGTATCCTACACTTATTGCTATCCTACAGTTACTGGTATCCTTCACTGTTGCTGGTATCCGACAGATACTGGTATCCTACAGTTACTGGTATTAGTTACTGGTATCCTAGTTACTCGTATCCTTCATTGTTACTGGTAAGTGTAGGATACCAGTAACAGTTGGATACGAATAAGTGTAGGATACCAGTAATTGTACGGTATCGGTAAGAATGAAGGATACGAACAGTGAAGGATACCAGTATCAGTGTAGGATACTCGTATCCTACTGTTACAGGTATCCTTCACTTGTAAGTGTAGGATACAGGTATCCTTCACTTGTAAGTGTAGGATACAGGTATCCTTCACTTGTAAGTGTAGGATACAGGTATCCTTCACTTGTAAGTGTAGGATACAGGTATCCTTCACTTGTAAGTGTAGGATACAGGTATCCTTCACTTGTAAGTGTAGGATACAGGTATCCTTCACTTTCTCAGTTTTCAGCACTTTCTGTTCAGGTATTAAAGCTTGTATCTGGGTAAACAAAACACATTAGGGGAAAAGTCAGTTTCTTTATTTACAAGGTGCAGATTAACTTTCTACAAATAACTGCAATATTGATTTTAAATGGTTGGTGATGACATCACATAATGTGCCTTGCTGGCTCTGCTATAAAGACTGTCGGCCTGGTCGACCAGCTGGTGTCTGACGACCAACCACGCCCTCTATATCAGGGCTGTACGTGCCCTGACAGTGTAATAAAGCTGCCAACAAACGTAGTATGCCCGTCTATCGAGAGCACACCAGGGGAGTATACACTGTGCTACACACTATCCTCCACCCCCCCTTTTGCAATTAGTGTGCATGCCACAGCTACACACACACGCTTGAGGTGTAGCACACACGTTACACAACTCATCGTGGGTCATCAACACACTTTACTACACCCAACACACGCACACCAACACCGCTCCACTACAGGTAAAGCGGTCTGCTGCTACCTCAAGCCTGTACACTAATATATAAAAAAAATATGTGAAAACGGCAGATTAACAAAGTTGTCAACAGTGACTTATGAAGCGTTAAACGAAGCCATTAGTTAAGAGGTGTCCTCGGGGATGCTTCAAATGGTCGGCTGACTAAAGCATCTCATGCTTTACGCTAGGAAATGAGCTCTGTGCATTGCCACACAAAAGTGGGCTCCACCCAGATATCCAGACAACAGTGAAAGCATACAGACTTGTAGGCAGGCGATGGAGTCACAACGTGGCTAAAGTAAATTGACCAGACCACACACTAGAAGGTGAAGGGACGACGACGACGACGTTTCGGTCCGGCCTGGACCATTCTCAAGTCGATTGAGAATGGTCCAGGACGGACCGAAACGTCGTCGGCGTCCCTTCACCACCTAGTGTGTGGTCTGGTCAACCAGACTTATAGGCTTTTGCCATTGGGAATCCCTTTTTTTTATTAAATTGCAAACAAATACTCAATGTTGCATACTTTTTCCTGCTTTTCCTAAGATGATCAACACATGCAAGGCAATGACAGGCGATAAAGAAAATGCGGGAGTGATTTCCATGGGTTACTATGACTAAAAAGAGTATTGCAGTAACCAGAACTCTATCAATTTTTTTCACTACTTGTGCCATTTGAATAGTGGAAATGGTAGCGATATAGCAAGATAAATACATCTATAACTATAGCATCCATTAGAAAGCAAAAATCAATTGCAAACTGGCTAGAAAAGTTAATATTTTTCTGCAGTGTTCTTTGTTGAAATTTTATCAAAAGCTTAACATTACTTTCCTTCCAAAACTTGGAGCAGAAAATTTTTCCCAAATAGTTTTTGAACATTAATTTGATAAAATTATTTAAATTTTGTGTCTCATGTTACATCTCTGAAAAAGTAGTGTTGTTGTGTGTGTGGAGGAGACAGAGGCAGCAAGCAACACACAGTTAGGTGAACAACCATCACTGCCTGCCATGACTTAGTATGTCAGGAACATATCCCCCACACACAACGGGAAAGAGACTTTTTTACCATTGCAACAATGTTATTGCAACGAAAAATAACGTTATTTTCCGTATATAATGTATATTTTTATGTATATTTTCCGTATTTGTGTGCTGGGGGACAGAACCAGAGAAGATAACGCCAAAAATAAAAATACATTAATATAAATTCGACAGGAACTGAAGACAAGACTTGGCGATACGGTAGAGACAAGGGGTCGTACACACACTGATGCGGCAAGATAAAGGAATATGGGAGCAAGCATGCAAAAAAAAAACACATGACAAGAACCTGGTTAATAAGAATGGGAGGTTGTTATAGCTGCATTGAGATAAAGACCCTGATAAAAAGGGGCCAGTGAGCGGGATTAGGGAATGAACTTGTGGCAAAGAACAGCTGCACTATAGAACATCTGGCAAGAGGGATTATTGATATATAACAGCAGTTGCAGGTTGGTGGCGGTATTGATGGTGGGAGTTAGGGGGGTCTGCGGGCGTTGATGTGGGGGGAACGGATAATCAGATCGTCTAAATTCCATTTATACAAATAGAGGAAATCAACAGGGTGCTTTACAAGTTATTATGTACACGATAAGCAAACCTTCCTTCTTTTGGCAAAACCCCCCCCCTCCAGCCCCAAAGATTATTAAATATACATATAATTCAAAATATATAATACGACTTTAATGACACGCTTCGTCATATGCCTTTCATTCTGTTGGGGAGTTTTGCCAAAGGAATCAAGAACATAAGAAATCTTTGGTTTGATAAGTTTGTACGCACACTTCATTCACACATACATACACACAGTATACCAATTACCTACATGTAGAGAAACAGGTGGTAATGTGGCTGAACAGGAAGAGTAAGCCTAGACGTACAGCTTGCTGCACTGTACGTCAACGTACAGCTTGCTGCACTGTACGTCAACGTACTGGTATAAAAAGGAAACTATGACAGATAAATATATATATATTCATCTATGAATATATAAATATGTACACAGATCTTCCATAAAAACGTTTGGATACAACTTTTGACCATCTGACCAGACACCAAGTCCTATAAAACCAAAGGAAACTAATATATAACATACAGTTTAAGTCAGGTGTGTGGGCGTGCAAGGTGAGGCACACAGGTTGTAACTAAGAGGACATGAATAATGGCTATACAAGAACATATATTCGTGAATAATTTAACAAATACTGCACAAAATATACAAATTAAAAAGTTACAACATCTACAAAATTAAAACAAAGGCTGAATAGTAGTTTGTCATTCGGGTCACTATTGAAGTTTGAGATTTAGTCAACACGCGTTTCTATGATGTATGTTTAAAGATTGGTTAAAAACGGCGTTTTCTAAAAAGAGTACATTTTAGTCATACACATTACACAAGACATTGGAGCAGACGTAGGCTGAAAATGTAACGGTAATTTGCCATATGGTAATTGAGGTTAGGTTTTAGGTACATTAATGGGGATTTCAAAATAAAACTGAAAGCCATTGAATGTATGTGTAGTCATTAAATATAAAGCAAATTAGGTTTATCGTAAACAATGATTTTTATTTTTGTTTCGTGGTTACATTATACAATGGACAAAAGTAGCAACTACAGCACTCTTGGGCCATTTTTTTTTTTTAGCTTTGACAGCTATAATCCAATTGACTATCCAATTACATTGCTCCTAGTGTCACTAGACTAGTTACGGAATGTCACGAATATTGTCCAAGTGATTATGACATTAAAAAGATCAAACATACGAATAATTTTATGTCATAAAAAAAAAGTTAAGCGATCTTTTGCCGACTCTTTGACAGAATAATTATATACACAAGTCTTTGCACTTGACATAATATAAACTTTTGTTTAAATTCTATAAATCCAGATTTAAACTCAGACTAGCTCTAACACAGTTAAATAAACACATTAAAATGTCCAATAATTTATAAAATATACAAACACCGATTAAACTAAATGTGACTGAGGATAAAATGTGAATTTCCACATGGAGGAGCGTCCAGCTTCTGAACGAGAGCACTCTACACAAGCCTGCCTACATCACACACCTGTTTACACCTGCTTTACTCCCTCTCTGACACCCAGTCCTTCATTCACCCGACTCACGCACTTCATCATCATCCATTAAACACACAAAAAAATGACGCTTGTATGTACACTTCTATTTAGTCAACCACTTGTAGCATTAAACCCCATCCTCGTTATACGCTCATACGCACAAATACGCTCTCACTAACTCTTATTGGTCGTTTGTCACTGCAAACACGTGATAGCTAACATGTAAATACAAATTATTTCACAGGTAAACAGACTTAATTTACTGTGTTATAAAAGGTCTCATGTTTGGGGGCGAATTGCAGGGCCACCATTGATAAGATACTCAGTTATTACGTTTTGCTTTTTCTTCCACTTAAGGGCGGCCCCACTTGCATATTGCAAAGTCCCAGAGGTTTCCAGTGTGAGGACTGAAGGTGTGGAGGGCTGAGATAAGAGCAGTCTATGAATCACTGGGGAGGGGGAGGTATCAGAGGTTCTGCTTCACCTCACACACCTCCACAAAAGAATAGTCACACCACTTAAAAATCCGTCTTTTATTATATATAAAACAAAACACTTTGTCTTTGCACGGCACCAACACTTAAAAACTTCTTCAGATAATGTGCGCGTTTGTGGCCCAGGTCGATGTTCATAGGACTTCTTGTGTTCATTGTTCACTTGTGTTCACTTTTGTACAGAGGAAACTGTGGCCTTGTGGGGAACGTGGACAAAGAGAAAGTTTTTTTGGGGTTTTAAGTTTCACCAGGTAGTTCAGTGAGGGGTTTATCATCATGAGGCAGCACATGGGAATGAGGGTTCTCGTCCTCTTAGGCAATTAGGCTAGTTGTGACGATCGCTCTCTGCTGACTGTTGTGTGTCCGCCCTGTTAACGACACGTAAAAAAGAAATCGGTATTATTATGGAATTACTTTATCATACATTTCAAACCTACTTTTTATGCTAATTGGTCAAATTGTTCGACCGAGTCTCCCATTAACACACTACAGAATGAGACAGGTTACAGTTGACCCCTAAATTACTCAATTCCAGGAAGAACTATACAATTGTCTTAAATGCATATTTGCAATAAATAACCGAACAAAATAAATGCATTTTACTCACTCACAAAGGCAAGTTTTCCATATTTTAATGTACAAATTTTCCAACTCATTCCCCTGAAATGGTAGCACTCACAGCAAATGTTTGGTCGAACGTACAAATATGGACTGAGTCAACAACGTTCACGTTTTTTACAGTTAATTTGGGCACGGAAAAAATCTTAGGACTAGTATATAGCACATGTACTCTATATTTTTTGGGGGGGGAGTCCAACAACTTAGTTTTGACCAAGTAGGTGATGTAAGTACTAAAATAATATTAATGAAAGACGAGTTGAGAATTTTTAAACCTCAAATTTATATCAAGTTAACCTTTCAGAGTTATTTTAGTGGGCCAGCCAGAGGCTTAGGGCCCGCGCAGGGATATCCCTGCAAAAAAAAATGTTGTTTTCTTTGAAAATTTTATGTCAATAGTGGCAGCTAGAACAAAATAGCAAAATGGTTTATGTATAACTTTCTCCACCTACATTATTGACCGTGATAATGCCACAAGCATTATCAAAATTCAATCAACGACCATTTTTCTTGACATAATAAAAACTTTAATCTTCATTGGGATAAATTTGTTAGCTTCGTCAATTCTGGCAAAACTGTTCCAATAGGAGTCTAAGACTACTGAACTGCTAGAACAACAGTCTGTTACCCTAACAGACTTCTAAGCATAACACAGAAATCACAATAGCGTGATGCATCAATTGAACAAATCCACAAGGGCCGTGACGAGGGTTCAAACGTACGTCCGAGAGTTTCCCAGACGCTGCCTTAATCGATTGAGCTACGACATGGTCAGAAGAATTGCAACCGCAAATTTGCCGTAGGTTCGAACCCTCGTCACGGCCCTTGTGGATTTGTTCTAAGCGTAACCCTAATCTATCCATTTCTCTGTTGTATTTAACACCAACTGACGTTAGTTGCAGTCTGTGTAGACCTTAACAAAACGTCAATTAAGTTTGTTCTAGAGTTTAAGGGTTAACTACCCGGTCTTTGAACAAATCCACAAGGGCCGTAACGATGATTTGCCCTCGTCACCTGTTGGATTTACCCAAGGATGTCGGCCCTTGTGGACGTGATGATGCATCACGCAATTGTGATTGTAACCCGGTCATTAGGGCACGTTGGGTACTACTCACTTGAGGTTCTTGTATCGCTCCTTCTCGTAGCTGTTGTCTGGCCCTTCACACTCGAACGATGCCAGCGCCAAACCTGTATAAATGGTACACACCTCATTAATAATGCCTCTGTCTTCATCACACAAACTCTCACCCTTATTTGGCGGTGTTAAAGCTTGGTAATTATCATAATATATCTGTCTCTCAATGGAAGGCTGCGGAACTACATCACAGGGATGGCGTGAGTCAAGGTGTAGTTTGGCGTGATATCAGGGATGGCGTGAGTCAAGGTGTAGTTTGGCGTGATATCAGGGATGGCGTGAGTCAAGGTGTAGTTTGGCGTGATATCAGGGATGGCGTGAGTCAAGGTGTAGTTTGGCGTGATATCAGGGATGGCGTGAGTCAAGGTGTAGTTTGGCGTGATATCAGGGATGGTGTGATATCACAGCGGATAACAAAGTAAACGGTTTACATCAGTGACTGAGCTTTCAAGTAACAGAACACAATATTGAGGCATATTTTTCCAAATCATTTTCCGTGTCACGTGTGTATGTGTGTGTATGTGTGTGTATGTGTGTGTGTGTGTGTGTGTATGTGTGTGTATGTGTGTGTATGTGTGTGTGTGTGTGTGTGTGTGTGTGTGTGTGTGTGTGTGTGTGTGTGTGTGTGTGTGTGTGTGTGTGATGTGTGTGTATGTGTGTGTGTGTGTGTATGTGTGTGTGTGTGTGTGTGTGTGTGTGTATGTGTGTGTGTGTGTGTGTGTGTGTGTGTGTGTGTGTGTGTGTGTGTGTGTGTATGTGTATGTGTATGTGTATGTGTGTGTGTGTGTGTGTGTGTGTATGTGTGTGTGTGTGTGTGTGTGTGTGTGTGTGTGTGTGTGTCTTACCTGTCTCCGTGAGGACGTTGGTGGTCTGCATGTAATTGATCACGTCTGGGACCTTCTCAAAGGGACAAGTCACCTGCTTCCAGGCCATAAACTCCGTCACCTGCTTAGCCAGCTGCCAGAACTTGTCGAAGTTGATGTGCCCATTAGGCAACCTGCGGAGGGGAGGGGACAAGGAATTATCCCCAGCCTTGCAACAATAGGTAAAGAAAATCGTGTTGAATTGTTCAGGAATATGTACACAAACATTTGCATTTTGCTCATATTCCACCTCCTGATGTATTTTAAGTTCCCTTCAAGATAATAGCACAAGATAAACCCAGTTCAATGTTGTACTTTCGAGTCCCCCTTTCACCGTGGTCTCATTCTCATCTATCTCTGTACCACGTATATCAGTATCTGTAGCTATCTCTATATCCAGCTACAGTATCTATCTCTATATCCAGCTATCAGTTTACTCCTTATCTCCTCACCTGCTGGCACAGCCCTCGTTGAGGAAGTAAAGATCCTTGACCAGGAGGCTGAAGAAAGGGATGACTATCTTCTGCCTGTCGTCGACGGCTCCGGCTGACCGCCACATGGCCGCCTTCAGCGTAGACCTGTAGCTACTGAAGTTACTGGAGGGGTCCATCTGATGCTCCAGCACCGAGAACTTGGCACTCTGGACCTTGCTCCACTGAAGGAGAATAAATGCAACTTTCAGTGACATATAATTCCTACTCGTTAGTGCATTATATAACATTCAAAAGACTGGGTGTATGATTTTACACAAATGATTAATAATGTATGAACTGAGGATGGCAAAATGATCACTATAACTACTTCAGATACAATTGATCCTTTGACAGCACTATAGAGGATTAATAATATCGAGTTTTTGGAATACAAATGATTAATGAATTAGGTGGATATCCTGAAGCTTTATCCAAGTCATTAATCATGTGTATTCCAGACTCAATAATAAAAGTTGTCAAATATGTTTTGTAGTGAAATCGTCGGTGTCATATCCGGAGACTTTATCCAAGATTTCACTACAGAACATACTTGAGAATACACACAGAAATCACAATACCATGATATATCAAATGAACAAATCCACAAGAACAAATCACAACAGTCGACCAAGCCGCAGCTGGGAGCATCCCGGACGTAGGTTCGAACCCTCATCACGGCTCCTTGTGGATTTGTTCATTTATACTTGAGAACTTTCATACGAACAAGATGGCCTTACCGTCTTCTTGAGTCTGGAGACGATGGACATGTTGAGACCAGCGATGATACCCATCAGGGAGTTGAAGTTGCCGATGTTGAAACTCTCCCGAGCCACTTCAATCCACCACTCTATCACCTTCACTCTCTGCTTCTTCTTAACGTGCTGTTGGCCACACCAGACACACACACTCAGTTACAGCAAGATATACAGATATAAATTTAATATAAAAAAAACCGTGAAGAATTCGAACCCGGGCCTCATGGTCTTTGGCACTTCACTTTAGTTACCGCTAAACCACACTGACTCTACAAAAGTGGAAGTCGTCTGACTCTTTAACCCAATTCCCGACAGCTCTCTGTGACCATTTTGGGCGCAGATCATCAAATCACTTCATCATGCTGGAGCCGCGTGAGTCACATTAGTGTCGGGCACAAATGATAGGGAATATAGTGATGAAACTATTGGCTCTAGCTGGCCCGGGGATCGAACCCAGGTATTTGAGATCGATACCCTAGAGCGTGAGATAATTAAGTTATCCTGGGGGACAATTGAACAACTAGCAAGACTTTAAAGCAAACAACAGTTCAAATAGCAAACACAAGAACAATAGACTATACATACTGTAAGGTACAGTCTATTTCTCCTAATATAGTCTATTAGGAGAAATTATATATTTCTCCTGATATATAGTAAGGTTATATATCTGGAGAAAGCACTAATCCATTACGACTATACAACTTAAATGTTAAAAAATATGTAAAACAAAAAAATACATTAAAAATTTATTTTACAGATCCGGAATAAATTCTTATTAGTAGCAACAATTTAATTGCAAGTCTAACACACTCTGCATAATTTTGATAAAAACTCAGAAAATAATTATGTATATGCCTTCATGTGAAGATACTCGCATTAACATGATATATAATTTGAGCGTGAGACGACGGCTTCTAAATAATAAATCCCCCAGAGCCGGAGACCAAGAGCTACGTACCGTACAGGCGTGCGTCGCCACCAGGTAAGAAAGTCTGTTGAACCACTGAATGTAAGACTCCAAGTTGTTGGTCTTCTTGAGGTCCTTGTAGCAGGCGTCCAGGTTGTCTTTGGCGAAGGCTTGAACGAACTCCTCGGGCCCGATGTAGGAGAGCTTCTCCAGCTCGATGTGCGTAAGCTGTTGGGCCATCACCAGCGGGCTCTGGCATACTTCTGTGATGTCCGTTGGCTGTGGGAAGGAGAGAGAAAGAGGTGTTATTTTACCGTTGTGGTGCAAAGGGTGGGTGGGGTGGCACAGGGGGAATTTATCGTCAAGTTTTAAACTGCAGCAGCTTCGGCCGTGCAGGTACGGCCGTGCAGGTGTCCAGCTGCACCCACACCTGTGGAGGTATCACAGCTGGAACTACAGTGAAAGGAGAAGCCGAAACGCCAAGCACCATTGAACTAAACAAATGTTGACGTTGTATCTTTGCCAAAAAGGTCAGGAGTTTTGCCGTCCGTATAGCTAGACTGGTAGTGGGGGGTTGGGGGGGGGTGAGGTGACGTGTGGGGGGGGGGGTGAGGTGACGTGTGGGGGGTGAGGTGACGTGTGGTAGGTGGGGGCGACGTGTAGCATTTGGTAATTACTAGCCACCCCCTTGAGGTGGGTTGGGCTTCAGTTCTTTGGTCCCGGTTTTGACCCCTTCGATCGATCGGTGTACAGGTTCTCAAGCGTGCCGGACTCTTGCCATATCCCACACTTAAAGCCGAGTACGGACTCTGCCTCCACCTCACACTGAACAATACTTTCTCCAATTCGTGAATTTAGTTCCCCACTGTGTCGTGTATCCCTTGATAGTCTATCTGCTATCTCCCTTGATAGTCTATCTGCTATCTCCCTTGATAGTCTATCTGCTATCTTTGTTAACTCACGTCTCTCAACTCTGGAGGCACGCCTCTGCTTAGTTACTCAAGCTACATTTCATGTTTATCGATCAGAAATCCACACGGGTGCTGCATTGGGCAGAATTGGTCTGACATACGTGGTATGGAAAGGTCCAGAGCGACTTGATGTTCAATGATTCAGGAATGTTATGTGGACAGTTCTTATGTTCGCTAGAGTTGCATGATGAGAGCTTCGAGAGTGGTTAGCTGGAGCGAGGTCCATATTGGCAGGTGTAGGAGTGTGCAGGTGTAGGAACGTAATAAGGTGAGGATGTAGGTGGGAGGTGAGATGTAGGTGGAGGGTGTGGAAAGTGTGCTGACGAGTGTGGGGAGACAAGTGGTGGTGGGGGGGGGAGACAGGTGTGGGGGGGGAAGACAGGTGTGTGGGGTGGGGGGTAAGACAGGTGTGTGTGGGGGGAGACAGGTGTGTGTGTGGGGGGAAGACAGGTGTGTGGGGGGGTAAGACAGGTGTGTGGGGGGGAGTAAGGTGTGGCTTAAGGACGTCTAATTCAGCACCAAAATTCATAATAAATGGTATGTGTATTGTTGTGTTTGTGTCAGAGTGATCAAGGAGCAACAGAAGTGCAGCCAAGCGCTGTGGGAGTAAAGGAGGGGGGGGGAGGGGGGGGGAGGGAGGGGGAGGGGGAGGGAGGGGGAGAGGGAGGGAGAGGGAGAGAGAGAGAGAGAGAGAGGAGAGAGAGAGAGAGAGAGAGAGAGAGAGAGAGAGAGAAGAGAGAGAGAGAGGAGAGAGAGAGAGAGGGGGGGAGAGAGGAGAGAAAGAGGCATACCATGGCACATAAAACCATAATAATAACCGTGCATCATGAACAAGAGCGGCGGGTTGTAACATTAACTATTCATGCTCAAGGCGGCGGGGCATTACGGCCCCAAGATCACCACAATCCACCTCATCCTCACCAGCCTAACACACCCAAGTAACACCAGCACACTACAGTTACAGAGATGGGTGCACAGAGTCGACCAGTTAGAGACACGGACAGGGACAGGGACGGACGGACGGACACACACAGGAACCCTCTCAGGAACCTGTACACCTGTTGATTGACGTTTGAGAGGCGGGACCAAAGAGCCAGAGCTCAACCCCCGCAAGCACAATTAGGTAAGTACACACACACACCACTGGGAGAACACAGGAGTAAAGATAACTGCTGAAAACCCATATTGGTCCATACGAAGCAGCTCCTATTCCATATCCAGACTCGTTCACATACAAGTCTAACCTACGCTTGAAACAATCCAGTGATCCCTCGTCTATTATGTTACCGGGTAATTTATTCCCAAACAAAATCAACAAACCATTTCCAAACCAGTATTTACCCAGGTCTTCTCCGAATCTCAACTTGTCCAATTTTTATATCCATTACTTCCTATTCTACTTTGACATTTATACATCTATTTTTATATAATTTTTATTCTCTCTCTTCATATGGAAGGTCTCTAATTCCCTGAGGTTAAATTTGTCACCCATCTCTGTAGGCATTCAAATTTAAACCATCAAATAAGCAACTTCTTTGTTCCTAATAATTCATAGGAAATTGGCCCTATTTCCTTCATTCCCTTTGTTTATATATTTGTTTGGGGGACTAATTGTCCCAACTAATCAATATTCCTAGATTATTTTCCTTAATCCTAACACTGTGTAGCTGTTGACCAGACCACACACTAGAAGTTGAAGGGACGACGACGTTTCGGTCCGTCCCGGACCATTCCCAAGTCGATTGGTTGATACCTGGTTGATGGGGTTCTGGGAGTTCGTCTACTCCCCAAGCCCGGCCCGAGGCCAGGCTCGACTTGTGAGAGTTTGGTCCACCAGGCTGTTGCTTGGAGCGGCCCGCAGGCCCACATACCCACCACAGCCCGGTTGGTCCGGCACTCCTTGGAGGAATAATACTCCTTGGTGTAGCTGATCTCTTGGCAACTTTGGTGTTATTACCTACTGATCTTTCGTACATTTTGAAAGTGTATCTAGAGGGCCTTGTAGAAGGGGTAGAGGGTGGGGGCGGGGTAGGTGGGTGGGGGGGAGGAGGTTGAGGGGTAGTAGGTAGGGGAGGGGGGGGGGGTTGGAGGGATAGGGGGTGGGAAGGAAGGATAGAGGTGGATATCGAATGACAGTGATGAAAGCTGAAGGAGAAAGGCAAGAGGGAGAGGGACAGAGAGAGACTGGTAAGAAGAACGAATGGGAGGAAGAGGAGGGAAGAGGAAGGAAGGGGAGGAGGAGAATGAAAGCCAATGAATGAATGGGTAACGAAGGCGAAGAAGGATAAGATAAGACACGGAAAAACAACGAAAGAGAGCTGGAGAATGCTATGTCAGGACAATGAAGATGGGGTAAAGAGAATGCGAGAAAGAACAAGGAAGCAATAAAGGATAAGACAAACACACTAACAAATAAAGCACAAGATAAAAAAAGTGGAATCCACTCGCAAACAAATTTTTTTATTTTCTCGGAACCTCGTTTAAAACTCATTGACCCCCCCCCCCCGTCCAACCACTTGGGCTGGACGGTAGAGCGACGGTCTCGCTTCATGCAGGTCGGCGTTCAATCCCCGACCATCCAAGTGGTTGGACACCATTTCTGCCTCCCGTCCCATCCCTAATCCTTATCCTGACCCCTTCCCAGTGCTATATAGTCGTAATGGCTTGGCGCTTTCCCCCCTGATAGTTCCTTCCTTCCCCCCCCCCCCCCACCCCCCTATTCCTTCAAGCCAACTGCTGAACGTCCCCGAGATGCCACCCACAACAGTTCCCCAACTCCTAGGTCAACAGCTGTATCAGGTGAAAGAAAACGTTGTTGAACGTCTCTTGTCTAATCCATTCTCAAGCTGGGCTCGTCCAATCAGCGGCCGACCCCAGAAACGGATTCATCCATTCATTGGGTGTCTGTTTTGCTCAAATATTAATTATAAACATCAGTAATGTATATATATTGTGTTAGGTGTTTAGGTTCCGTCAGTGATATCAACCAGTCCTCAGGCCAGGCTCGTTAAAGCAGCGGCCATCCCCCAAACACGCATTTATCAACATTAATGTGCTATGTATTAAAATTAGGTTAATTGATAATATTTATTAAAGTGCTATGTATAGCTAGGCGTAGGTTAGGTTTGGAGTTAAGGCTTTGTTGGCGATTATTTGTTTTTGAAGTGCGTGAGTGAAGCATCTACATCTTTGTTGTTCGGTCAGAGGCTTTGTGGTCCAAGCCGTCAGTGAAGCACTTGTTCCGGAAGTGTTCGGACGTCATCAGTTGAGAGTCGTGTTTAAACCGTTTTTTATTCATAAACAGGGGGTTTGGCGGCTGGATTAACGAGCTTGGACCTTTGTATGCGAGGACGGGTTGGCGAGTTCAATCCGTCCTCCAAATAAAGACCCAAAAGTCATTCCATCTACCCGCCAACCCCCCGCTGTTTATGAATGAAAAACAGTTTAAACACGACTTACAACTGATGACGTTCGAACACTTCCGGAACAAGTGCTTCACTGACGACTTGTGTTCGAACCACAACGCTGTAAATGCTTCACCCACGTACTACAAATACACATACTCCCCAACAGAACCTAAACACCTAACCTATGCCTATATATGCACAATATGCTATTATAATATTAATTTATATTTGAGAAAATTCCCGTTTTGAATGAACAGCATGTAAAAATTGATGAATGCGTCTGTGGGGTCGACGGCTGGATGGAATGGACTCGAGTCGAGAACGGGTTGGACAAGTTACAGAGGTGCTATTCGAACACAGGAAAAGTGAAGCAATTTTCGAAAAAGTGTTCGTATGTGAAACAAACTCGTGTGTATCAGTCCGTCTAACAATCCGCTTGATTGTTAGCGATATAGTGAAGGCTGTTCAGCTAAAACACCTGACTTCCCAAAATCGACAAGTAACAAAAATATAAGTGTTAAAGTTTGGAGTGTAGGGAAAGTTTAAGTAGTAGTAGTAGTAGGGTGAAGTCTTTACGTAGGAGACCGTAGTCCATTACGGGCTCACCATAGCCCGTGCTACATGGACTCTTCGTTCCCAGTAGATAAATCTATAACAACACTGTAGTCTTGGTCAGTCAGCCTTACCTGAGGGATGAAGTCAGCAGGTGGGGGAGCTGGAAGCTTGGCTAGACCCTCCTCGTATCGCTCCAGCTGGGTCAGCTTGTTAAGCAGGTTGTGCAGTACCTGTGAAAAGGGGGTGAAACAAAGGACTAGGTGAAGCAGCACCATACTTGCTTCCTCTGACCTTTCCAAGCACACACACGCACGTGAACACACACAGACACACACACTTCCTCCTCCAGCCACATATCTTGCACTCAAGACCAGGAATTAACATCAGCTCAGGATATTAACATTCAACAGACACAGATCCTGTTGTTCTGTTCTGTGTAATCTATCTGTACATTTCTGTTATACTAAAGTGTAGTTACAGCTGGAATCAATGACTCTTTACCTAAAGTTGTTCAAAGACGTGACAAATTCACAATTTTGGATAATTTTTATTACTTCATATTTCAGAACATGTAAAAATCAAATAGGGACCTGGGGCCAGATTCACGAAGCAGTTACGCAAGCACTTACGAAGCTGTCCATCTTTTCTCAATCTTTGGCGGCTTTGTTACAATTATTAAACAGTTAATGAGCTCCGAAGCACCAGGAGGCTGTTTATAACAATAACAACAGTTGATTGGCAAGTTTCCATGCTTGTAAACTGCTTAATAAATGTAACCAAACCGTCAAAGATTGAGGAAAGATGTACACGTTCGTAAGTGCTTGCGTAGCAGCTTCGTGAATCTGGGCCATGGAGCGTATATGGGGTCTAGGATAGACTGCACTAGAATCAGAATAGGACCCTGGAAAGTTGCTCAGGAATAGGTTAAGAGAGCAAGCGAACCAAAGCCAGAATGCATCATTTACACTTACGAAACCTATACATCTTTCACGGCTTAGCTCTTGGGCGCCGACTCACCTGCGTCACGTCCCGCCGGAGTGTGGGTTCGAGTGCGATGCAGCGATGCGTCATGGTGCGCACTCCGCCCATCATGCGTTCGTCCCTGAAGTCGTATGGGAAGGTCTCGCTCCACTCCCCCAGCAGCTGTACCATATGGGGTACGAACCTCCCCAGCTTCTCCTGCAGCACAGGTCGCGTCATTACCACCAGAAAGCCGTTAGGGGTTAGTATGCCTATGTGGCACTTGAAAGGTGGGGGGGGGGGGTATGTGGGCAAGGGGGCTGGGGTATGAGGACAAGGGGGCTGGGGTATGTGGCCAAGGGTGCTGGGGTACAAGGGGGCTGGGGTATGAGGGGGCTGGGGTACAAGGGTGCTGGGGTATGAGGACAAGGGTGCTGGGGTATGTGGACAAGGGTGCTGGGGTATGTGGACAATGGGGCTGGGGTATGTGGACAAGGGGGCTGGGGTATGAGGACAAGGGTGCTGGGGTATGTGGACAAGGGGGCTGGGGTATGGGGTATGACAAGGGGGCTGGGGTATACGAGGACAAGGGGGCTGGGGTATGAGGACAAGGGTGCTGGGGTATGAGGACAAGGGGCTGGGGGTATGAGGACAAGGGGGCTGGGGTATGAGGACAAGGGGGGGGCTGGGGTATGAGGACAAGGGGCTGGGGTATGAGGACAAGGGGGCTGGGGTATGAAGACAAGGGTGCTGGGGTATGAGGACAAGGGGGCTGGGGTATGAGGACAAGGGGGCTGGGGTATGAGGACAAGGGGGCTGGGGTATGAGGACAAGGGGGCTGGGATACGAGGACAAGGGGCTGGGATACGAGCAACAAGGATACATACACGTACCTTGTACATACACGTACATACACCTCTACACTATACACAAACACAGTGCACATGAGATTATTTACATCTCTTAATTCCTCCAATTACAACATCTGAACAGTCATTTACAAGTTTTTTTTCAATATTGTATTTACAGAGGACACTAATATAACTTTTATTAATAAAACTATCATAGGTTTAATATTAATGAACATGTATTACTAATTGTATCTTAAACCCGTTATTACGTCGATTTCCATAACCATTTCTTGTAATTATTCCTAATCCGCTCGAGTCACTAATGAGCTCCTTACCCCAGTAATAGACCTTAATTTGCATAAAGAAATCAAATTAACGTGATGAATCAATACGAAAATGAAGAGGAGCCGTGAGGGGGATTCGAACCTTCACACTGAGGTCTAATTCGTGTGCGACTCACCCCCCCCCCCCAAGAAAGTGAAATACTGCCGGAACAAATGCGGAATTCAAGACGAAATTAAAACCCGGTCCTGCAAGGAGTGCCGGATCAACCGGGCTGTGGTAGGTATGTGGGCCTGCGGGCCGCTCCAAGCAACAGCCTGTTGGACCAAGTGATTACTAATCAAGCGCGCACACAAGACGCTTCTCAATCTCCCAGATAAATTAAGACAGAACTGTCATAGATCCGTTAGATCAGGGCAATTTCACCTTCGTAAAGCAAGTACAATGTAAAAAAAAAAAAAAAATACTATTACTACTACTACTACTTTGAACATGGTGGAGAGACTTGTGTGATTGCCTGCTCAGAAATTTCAAACAATCGCATAGATAGTAAAGCATTCGACCTTTTTATCAACCGCATTGCACCCCCCCTTACCTTATTGATAGTTCCCAGGTCGTTGCCTCTGAGGCCCTGCTGCGTGAAGCCGACGTCACACACCCGCTGGAGGAGCTCGTGGGGCTTGATGAAGAGGCGAGAAGAGAGGAGGAAGGCGAAGAGGTAGGCGGTGTCGGGGTAGTAGACTGCTGTTGGCACCGCGTGCTGGACCAGCGCCTGGAGCGACCCGGACACCAGCACCCCGTCCTCGTACACCAGCGACTGTCACGGAGACGCGGGTATTAGTCAGGGCTCTTGGCTATACGGCAACTTTAAAACCACAATATAGCCCCCAATCCCTTATATGACCTAATATATACACATATTAGGCATCTCGTGCGGGCCCAACACAACCACCATCAAAATCCCACGAGCAATCCAGTTGGGAAGGCCCCGTTGTAGACCAAGTTGCTGTAGAGTGCCTGGGTGCTGCAATAACACAACACGACATTGCTCGGTTCATTACAGTAGCAGCCCCACATGCAGGGGATTTCCTGTTAACAATCCCAATGTCGGCAACTGGCACGCGTCTCTCAACGCAGGCCTTCCGAATGTGCGGACAGCATGGTCTGCTCTGCCAAAGCATAGGGGGATGGCACTCGAGGCACAGGGAAGTTATCAAGAGGAGCCTCACCACAGCTGGATGTCCAGCTGAGAGAGAGCCCCGTTACCTAACGCCCTGTAACTCTGATGCTCTTATTGGTCGCCCGGATGGTATCACATTGAACCCCTGGCAAGCAGTTGGTATGGGACTACACGTGCGTATCAACCCTGGCTGACACCTACATTAACTTCAGTCTTGCACAACCAGGTGGCGCTGCCACCCACATGGAATCAGCTAAGTCCCGTAAGTACAGAGAACTGGATCACCACTACAATTTTATCCCCATGACTTCTGAGACACTCGACGCCTGGATTAAGAGTGCCACCAGTTTTTTGAAGGAACTGGGTTCTAGGCTCATTGAAACAAGAGACCTTAGAGTTGCCAGCTTCCTTTTCGAGCGCCTCAGCGTGGCGATACAGAGGGGAACGCAGAGGATAGAAGGATTCAGTATTCCTGAGGAGCTGGAGGGACTCACCAACCTGTAAAACAACTTTGTACCTTATCTGTAATCATGTTTAACTCTTTTTTTTTGTAATAAAGTCTAAATTAAATAAACAGGGACATATATTAGGGGGTGGTAGAAGACAATATGTCAAAGCCCACGTGAGAGCTCCACAAGGTTCACCCGGGTGCTGCATATCCTCCTCTTCGTGCCTAAGGGATCCATCTATCTATCCAACTGTCACCCTTCCCCCCCTAGCACACATACACATTATTAAATAGATAATCGACGTGAGCATGGATACGTGGCAATTTTCAACCAGGGTTAAGTCGCTGGCAGCTACAGTTTAGTGGCTCATCTCACCTTCAGGCAGACGGGCTCTACCAACCCTGACTGCTTAATTGTGTCTGCTCTACTGACCCTGGCCGCTTAATTGTGTCTGCTCTACCGACCCTGGCCGCTTAATTGTGTCTGCTCTACCGACCCTGGCCGCTTAATTGTGTCTGCTCTACCGACCCTGGCCGCTTAATTGTGTCTGCTCTACCGACCCTGGCCGCTTAATTGTGTCTGCTCTACCAACCCTGGCCGCTTAATTGTGTCTGCTCTACCAACCCTAGCTGCTTAATTGTGTCTGCTCTACCAACCCTGGCTCTTTAATTGTGTCTGCTCTACCAACCCTGGCCGCTTAATTGTGTCTGCTCTACCAACCCTAGCTGCTTAATTGTGTCTGCTCTACCAACCCTGGCTGCTTAATTGTGTCTGCTCTACCAACCCTAGCTGCTTAATTGTCTGCGCTCTACCAACCCTGGCTCCTTAATTGTGTCTGCTCTACCAACCCTAGCTGCTTAATTGTGTCTGCTCTACCAACCCTGGCTGCTTAATTGTCTGCGCTCTACCAACCCTGGCTCCTTAATTGTGTCTGCTCTACCAACCCTAGCTGCTTAATTGTGTCTGCTCTACCAAGCCTGGCTGCTTAATTGTGTCTGCTCTACCAACCCTAGCTGCTTAATTGTCTGCGCTCTACCAACCCTGGCTCCTTAATTGTGTCTGCTCTACCAACCCTAGCTGCTTAATTGTGTCTGCTCTACCAACCCTGGCCGCTTAATTGTGTCTGCTCTACCGACCCTGGCCGCTTAATTGTGTCTGCTCTACCAACCCTGGCTGCTTAATTGTGTCTGTTCTACCAACCCTGGCTGCTTAATTGTGTCTGCTCTACCAACCCTAACTGCTTAATTGTGTGCGCGCTCTACCAACCCTGGCTCCTTAATTGTGTCTGCTCTACCAACCCTAGCTGCTTAATTGTGTCTGCTCTACCGACCCTGGCTGCTTAATTGTGTCTTGAACTGTGTTTTTCTTGTTATTTAAAAGGATCGAGATTTTTTTTTTTTTTTTATTATTAAACCCGTCAAGACCCTTGTTTCCTGGTGGCCGAGTGCTCCGGCCAGTTGTGGGATGGTGGCTATGGGACTCTCAGGGAAGGTAATGGGACGGTAAACCCTACCATTCCATGACGTTTCCGGCACTAACTTTCTCTCGGACCATCCGACATCACTAACACGGGAGAGGGGGAAACTGCCCTGGAGTTTACACTGGTAAAGGTTACCTGTAATAATACTTGAAATGGATTCTAATATCGAGGTATTATAGAACTGGTTTTTCTTAACGATATAAAAGTTTTGAGCAGCGAGACTTTATTAAAACATTTCTATGTTTTGGTTTTCCGTAACGAGGTAAAGCGTCAAAAGTTTATCGTATTTTTTTTACCTCACGCATAAAGTGTTGAATAACTAACCTAACCTAACCTAACTATCACAGCAGATGAGTCTCAATAACATGGCTGAAGATGACCAAAATCACACATCATCAAAAGATGATGAGACGACGACGTTTCGGTCCGTCGTGGACCTTGATAATGGTCCAAGACGGACCGAAACGTCGTTTCCTCAAATTCTGATGGTGTGCTTTGATCATCAAAACTCTCTTTCTCCTTTCTTTCAGGTTTTGCCTGTGGGTTCCCATGGTAGGCACCTGGCTATACGTTATGAAGCACTCCCACATGCCTTGGCGATTCATGAGCACCTGCCGGGGATCAAAAACTAGAATCTGGCTCCCCCAATCGTCCCAGAACACACATTGTATCGATCTCATGCAAGAGTTTAGTAACTCTTGAGTTACTTAACTCAAGTAAGTAAGTTCCCATTTCACTGTCGTGCAATACTGATTGTCAGTCTTATTTGTTTGGCAAGATTTGACTGTGCATCAGGTTACCGTATTCGACTCTGTCGTGATGGTCAGCCGTCAAGTGACGTCATCTGCCGTCAAGTGACGTCATCTGCCGGCAATGCAGGCCATTTGTCAACACTGCGGTTGCATTTGCTGTTACATTTTACACCTAGATTACTACGTCAGTTGGTTGCAAACAATTAAGGTCACACATTGTCAGTACACCAAGCAATACACGTGTATAACTTGTTTATACAACTTTCTCAACATACACTTAAAGCTTCTCAAATCTCAGCCCTCCAAGATCACCCTTTATTTATTTATTTTACATGAAAGGTCAGAGTGTCATTAGGGGTCCCCCTATTGCAACCCGTTCTCGCAAATTTAATAAGTCAATATTGACTTATTAAATATGTGCATAGGTGACATACTTAACATAATAGATACCCATAAAAAGATTCATAGAAAACACCGACCTTACCTAACCTTGTTAGTATCTTAAGATAAGCATCTTATTGCTTCGTAATTACAATTATTACCTAACCTATAATAGGTATAGGTTAAGTAATAATTGTAATTACGAAGCAATAAGATGCTTATCTTAAGATACTAACAAGGTTAGGTAAGGTCGGTGTTTTCTATGAATCTTTTTAAGGGTATCTATTATGTTAAGTATATCACCTATGCACGTAGTTAATAAGTCAATATTGACTTTACGAATTTGCGAGAACGGGTTGCCTATTGGCCTGCGTGTGACTAGAGGTTAACAATATTACCATGCAAGGTCAAGTCATTAGGAGGAAGAGTGCGCTAAGCCAGCAGGACTATAAACACTCAGAAAGGTCACGAGGACAGAGTGAAGGTCACTCTGGACTGAGTGAAAGTAACAAGGCCCCTACACCTTTGGATGGGAGTGGCAGCCTCTTAACAATTAAACCTCCAATCGAGATTTTATACCCCCCCCCCTGTGGTACAATCACTGATTTTCGTCACAATCTGCCATTTCCTACTGTGTTCCAATCGCCATATACATTTTTTTTTATTCCCATTTGATCCCTTAAATAGTCTAAAACACACACACCTCTCATGTAGTACCCTTTTTTGTTTTTTAAACAGCTGCGCAGTTTACGGGTTAACATAGCCTTAACTACGCCATCTCGAATCACCAAGATGGCGACCACTCACATTGTCATCATCTGGAGCTGTAGCCCACTCTGGCGGGTGAGAGAGGTGATCCACGCCATTGTACGGACACGATTTGGCACCACTCTTGGGCGTCTGTGGCAAGCCCTGGAAAATACACAATAAAATACATGAGTATTTACGTATACATTGTGCGTGGGGTAAGACAGTTCGTGTATTAAATACTAATAGGGCATTGGGATCCCCCTTCCTTCCCCCCACTCCCCCCCTCTTGCTATACCTTGCCAACGTGGCGGGGATTCGAACCATGCAACATAGGTTAACATGCAACCATGAACCATGAACCATGCAACATAGGTTAACATGCAACCATGAACCATGAACCATGACCCATGCAACATAGGTTAACATGCAACCATGAACCATGAACCATGCAACATAGGTTAACATGCAACCATGAACCATGCAACATAGGTTAACATGCAACCATGAACCATGAAACATAGGTTAACAACATAGGTGGTGGTCTTTGCAACACATCTTACCTATGCAACCTGCAGGAACGGAAATATGCGTTCTGCAATATGAAAATAAATCATTCTTTTTAATAAACTCTAAAATAACCTCTGGCCAACAAACGTCGCTATCTTTCATCTTGGAGGTTATCTTGATATCATTTCGGGGTTTAGCGTCCCCGCGGCCCAGTCCTCGACCAACGTCTCTTTATTTTTGTTACACACACACACACATCCCCCAGGAAGCAGCAACCCGTAGCAGCTGTCTTAACTCCCCAGGTTACCTATTTACTGATAAGTGAACAAGGGGCATCAGAGTGAAAGAAGCTCTGCCCATTTGTTTCCGCCTCCACCGGGGATCTCACCCGGAAGCTTTGGACTACGAATCCCGAGTGCTGTCCACTCAGCCGTCAGCCCCCCCACCCCACCCCCTTTTCCTAACTCCTGCATATTACACACTTAAGTGCAACTCCTGCAACACCAGACCATTAAAACACCCGGAAACACACCTAAACCCAACCCATTTTGCAAGCAAACAAGTCGTGCTTCAGATATCCGTGTTTGCAAACAGGATCCAAACACGCAAACGCAGCGTTATTTACTCAACGCCCAAAAAAAAACGTCGTTTTTACGTCGCGTATTCACTGAAAACGGGAAGTCGAAAACTGGCTTTACTGAAGAGGTTGTCAGCGAGCCGCAGGAGTAAGAGATTATACGGTGACAGAGGAAATGGCGAGGTCCCCCCCCCCCATGGTTGGCCCTCGCAAATAGTCCATATCTTCCGTGGCGCTCCACACACACACACACACACACACACACACACACACACACACACTACTGTGTCATTATGCTACGAAGAGACGCCGCCGCCGCGCTGGGCTCCAGAGGCTAGGTAAATGTGCCTTTGATAAACGTGCCAGTGAAAGGGGAAGGGAAGGGAAGGGAAGGGAAGGGAAGGGAAGGGAAGGGAAGGGAAGGGAAGGGAAGCCCAGGCACGCACAGGCAGGCAGACAGAGACAGAGAGACAGATTGAGAGACCAACCAACACACACTATGGAATGCATTAGGCAGTGATGTGGTGGAGGCTGACTCCATACACAGTTTCAAATGTAGATATGATAGAGCCCAGTAGGCTCAGGAACCTGTACACCAGTTGACTGACAGTTGAGAAGCGGAACCAATGAGCCGAAGCTCAACCCCCGCAAGTACACCTTGGCGAATACAACTAGGTGAGTACACACACACACACACTGTTCCTAATATACGTAAACGACCTAACAGCGGAACTAAGCTCATTCTTGTCAATGTTTGCTGACGATGCTAAGGCTAACGAGGCGAATCAGAACTGCGGAGGTCTGCAATATATTCAGAAATCAGCTTAACAATAGTCTTGAGACCTTCTAGACGTCAACCCTTGCAAATGCAAGACTACGACGTTCAACTGCAGTACAGAATGAAGGAAAAGCAACTTCCAACTTCTGAAACAGGAAAAGAGAGAGACTTAGGAGTGGATATAACTGGATATCTACCACCAGAGGCACACGTCAAAAGGATAACGAGGGCAGCATACTGGCAAACGTCCAGTTATCCTTCGGAAACTTGGACAAAGAGCTCTTCCGAGCGCTATATAGAGCCTTTATGAGAGCTATTATTGTGCATGCTGCCCCCGATATAAAACCACTACCCAAAGAAGCACAGAATAAAACTTGAAATATGCCCCAAAAATATGTAACAAGGCTCGTTCCTGAGCTATGAAGGAAGACCGGCTGAACTGTACCTTAACTGGAGGAAAGATATGATAACGATGTAAAAGATATCAAGGGGGAACTGACAAAATAGAAATAAAAAACAAAGTTTAAATTAATGAAGAGGTTACCGAGAGGACGTAATTGGAAACTTGAAACACACAGGAGTGAATTTTTTTCCACTCTTAAGAGTCGTAAATAAGTGGAATGGACTAAGCGAGGAAGCTGCCGGATGCAATAAATACATTTTTATTCGGGAAAAGTACATATATATAGTTGATTTACAAAGATAATGTTGGATTTATAGATAGAGCTAGTACACACAATACATAAAAAGCCACTAATACGCCAATCTGTTCTCGCACTTGCTTATGGTCAATATGGGCTTATTTAATAAGTGCATATGTGACATACTAATTGATTGTGAATATTTTAGTTTACCTTGAAAAGCTTTATAGAAAACACCGACCTTACCTAACCTTCTTAGTATGTTAAGATAAGCATCTTATTGCTTCTTAATTACAATTATTACTTAACCTATACCGTTGATAGGTTAAGTAATAATTGTAAATAAGAAGCAACAAGATGCTTATCTTAACATACTAAGAAGGTTAGGTAAGGTCGGTGTTTTCTATGAAGCTTTTCAAGGTAAACTAAAATATTCACAATCAATTAGTATGTCACATATGCACTTATTAAATAAGCCAATATTGACCGTAAGCAAGTGCGAGAAGGGGTTGAATACGCATAGCGTTTTGGCCAAACTAGACTAGACTCACAGCTTTAAATATAAATACGTTAAGGGAAAACGAGTGAAAAAAAATTGAACTACATTGAAGGTCTAAAGGCGATGGGGTTTAAGAGCTGAAGCTCGACCGTGCAAGGACAACTTTGTGAACACTCCCAGAGGAAGAGCGCGCCTAAAACCGGTTACAACCCCAATTAGACCACCCCCTACGGGCTCACCATAGCCCGTGCTACTTGGAACCTTTTATTCCAGGAAGCAAATCTTAGACAACAACCACCCGGCCTCCTAATAGAGCGTCGCATCTTGACGTCTATACTCTTCCCTAAGGCCGAAAATCGACGTACTAGAAAATGGTATAGCGGCTGGCGAAATTGACAGTCCCATTTTCTGTTTTGGGTCCTCTGGTAGGTTAGGAGACGGGCACGTTAGTACGACAGATTCTTGACGTTGGGGGAACCTTAGGAGGACGGGCAGACGGTCCCCCCCCCATTCTCAAAAGGCAGCTCGATCCTGCCTTTTGAGAGGTGGGGGGGGGGACTACCTTTCGGTACAGACGCCTCGCCGCGAACATACAACCTAACTACAACGTTCTAAGACATTATTACAACATTCACATACAACACCAACGTTGTAGTTACGTTATAGTTACGTTGTGTAGCTACAATTGGAAGGGCTCACATAACATATGTAAAACTGGTCAATATATATATGATTGTCGTCCAGAAACCTAGACAAGGAATCGGTCAAAAATCGTATCGCAACCTTCGTGAGCCCAACACTAGAGTATGCAGCACTAACATGCCACCTGCACTTAGAACGCAAAAATAAAACTTAAAGAGTGTTTAAAGGCTGACATGTGGCTGGTGAAGCGAAATTTAAAAGAACTGAGTATCTCTGATTATATGAAAGTTGGGACACGATTGCTACATACAAGATACTAAGCGCCATGGAAAAAATGAACATGCACAGACAGGTCTTTAGCTTCGCAGTTCGTCTTGTATAGGGATCTAGATGAAGTAGAGTGTAAAGTGTGTGGACAAAGACAGGGCCACACACACGAACACTATCTTAGACTCTAGTAAACATTAAGCCATATAGAGATAAATCTAAGCTCTCGTCGTATGAAATGGCAAACCCTTTTATTACTAATGATAAAATACCTAAAATCCTTGCGCTGTATCCATATTTCGCTTCCAGTAGATAAACGACATATGAGATTAAGAAACAAGTAGTGTATTGTGAAGACTAATAATAAACAGAAGCTCCCCTATGACTCTGTAATATCCCCATTGCTCAAACAATTATGTATTAGCGATAAGACCTACCATTAATGTTTAATGACTTACTGTAAATATATAGCTCTTGAAATAGAACATTCTCTGTAACTATCTGACATTGTAATTATAAGGTGTGAAGGATAGATGAAATTGTTAATGTAATAATCTCCGATGAGGTCTGATAAAGACCTTTTGTGCCCTCTGTAATCCTCTTTTTTGCGCTACCGCTCACAGGATGAGTATGGGAAGCACAATAAACTATTAGCCTCTGGCAGCAACAATCAAAAATCAATCAAGACAGACCCTTCAGCTTCAACTATGAACAGACACACACAGAGAAAGAAGCTAGACGAACCAGTCTCATAAAAGGTTTCTTTGTGAACTCTGAGATTGACTGCAAGATGGCGCGGCGAGGCTAACTCACTCAGAATTAGAATAACTAGCAATTAGATATGGTAATTCCAAATTTAAGATGCCACCAGACAATCGATAGCTTAGAAGCACGCCCTAGGAGATGTAGTATAGCCCCTTTATATGCATGAGGCGTGGAAAAGAACGTGAGTGAGTGAGTGAGTGAGTGAGTGAGTGAGTGAGTGATGGCCCAGATCGACAGCTGCTGCCACCTGACCCCTATAATATGGATCCCACAGCCATTACGCCGCTGGATTGACAGAATTAACCGCAATGGTAGTTTCCAGACTCTCCCCTACCCCCCCCCCCCCCCCAACGCCTGAAGAGCACCCAGACTTCTCACTTCTCTCACCCTAAAGAGGTGAGAGCTCTATAAGCTCTCCTCCTCCTCCTCTCATAGAGCCTTCTGTGAGAGAGTGAACTTCTCACTTCTCAAGTGGGTAGGAGCGGG